GCATAAAGAAGATGTGCTTTGTTTTGTTCTTTAATAAAATGGAGTACTACTCAGCCAAAAAGAACAAGAAACTAGAGATAATTATAGCTAAGTGGATGCACGTTGCGGCCATATGCTTCAGTGAAATTAATAAGTCACACATGTGTAAATACTGAATAGTTTCTCTGTGAAAAACTAAAAGTGTAAATAAGGATCAAAATGTATAATTTACATTGTGTAATAAGAAAAGGTCTAAAAGAGTAGAGGAAATGGGAGGGGTAGGGGAAAGGGAAAAAAGGAAAAGAAAAAATATGTGAACAGGAAAAACATGGAAGCAATGTTTTTGTAAACAGAAAAAGGGTGGAGGGAGTGAGGGGAGGGCTGGGGAATGGGTAAAAATAAGAACCAAGACCTGTCATGTAAAGGTACAAGATCCCAATGATGAATGTAACTGTACTGTATACCTAGAATGTACCAATACACTTAATAAAGATTAACCACAAAAAAAAGGAAATGGCACTGAAGCATCCATGTAGAACCCTGGACTGGGAAAGCTTCTGAACCATTTGCTATGGCTTGAATGTCCAGTGTCCTCTAAATACCCCTATGTGATGGCTTGCTCCCCAAGGAGCAGCTATGGACCTTTCACAGGTGAGGCCGAATGGGAGGTCCTTAGTTCACAGGGCATGCTGTGGAAGGGGGTTACGGGGCCCCAGTCTGTGTGTATGTGTGTGTCCGCATGTGCACATGTGTGTCTTGCTCTTTGTCTCTCTCTCTACTTTGGTTCAAGATAGAATAATTTGTTCCCACCATAATGTTCCACTATTCACCTCCCTTACCAGAGGCCAGGCCAATAAAGACAAATGATCTTGGGCTTTGAACCTCCAAAGCTGTGAGCTAAGTAACTCTCTCCTGGTCATAGCCTGTGTCAAGTATTTTGTTACAGTGGCAGAAAGCTGAAAAATAAAATAGCCAGCCTTTTCTGACAAATGCCCATTAACTCTAGAAGAACCAAACTATCTGGAGGAGGAAATGAGGTAGAAGGTGAAGGTAAAAAGAATTAGCCTGGAGCAGACATAAAAATGGTCTAGGATCGAGTATGACTTCCCAAAGCTGAGGTGGCCTTGCTGACTAGGGAGGTCTCTTGGTCAACCTGGTGTCCGCCATTATCATGGGTCTACACAACCCTGAAACCTCAGGGCACCTAAAAATCTAGGAGCTAATAGATATCAATAGTGCACCCCAGGATCCCAGAGCACAAACTATTTCTGGGAAAAATGTTTAGTTTCTCAAACCCACTCAGATATTTTCTGTGCCTTTAGAATACATGGATCGTCCTACACCTATGCTGGCTGGGGCACGGCTGTGGGGTCTTGAGCACTGCAGAGTTTCCTGCACTGCAGCAGCTGGAGGCCAGATTTTCCTTCCCAGGAAGGACAGAGGGTCTACCACAGCTGCACAAAGCCACAAAGCTGCACTTCTGAGGTCTCTGAAAGTAGGCAAACAAGAAGCAATGGAATGCAGCGTGCGAGGGTAAGAATCCGGACCTAAATCTGTCCCATCTACTCTGGGAAGCTTGGACCAATCCAAGCTCTTCATGACTTGGCGAGTACCACATCTGTGAACTGTCCTTGTTATGCAACCTTCTGAAACCACACTTTTCACTCTCAGAAAAATACAAGCATTAATGCAGGGAAGTGGACCATGATAACTTCTAACAGCAGCTAGTTCTGCTAGTACCATGCCAAGATGCGTAACAGCCTCCCTTCCAACCTAACAAGGCAGAAGGAAGTTCTGAGGCACATCTTCTAACTACATTTTATCAGGATCAGAACAGGCAGCAAATGAGATGGAGAGGAAAAAACAATGGAAAAAGTTACAGACTAAAGTTAAATGTCCCCCCAAATTTGATTTTGTACCTACTAGGTGCCAGGCATTCTGTTCTTTTAGTCCTTTCAATAAACCCTGAAGGTGGAAATTATTATTATTTTTTTTTTTAGTAAAGAAAAAAAAAGGCTGACAAGTGTAAGCAAATTACTTATACCTGGGTGGGGGGAATTACCTCTAAGAACTGCAGTTTGTATTTATAGCCCTTGAAAACAAAAGGCTAGGCTATTCATTCCTCAAAATCCTGACGAGTAAGCACTGTTTTCATATTTTTTCATGTTTCATATTTCAACAGAGACTGAAAAATATAGCCAGTCCCCATGAAAATTTCAGTGATGGACTCTTGCTTCTAAATTCTAAAGGGAGTTATTTTTCTTCTCACTCCCAGTGCTGCAGGTCGCGGACAATCTAGTGCTCACTGCATCTCCTCCTTCCTTCAAATGTGCTTCAGGTTCAGATGAGAGGAAGGAGGTACCACCCTCCACGCCCACAACTCCAGGCTTTAGAGGGGCCAAGAGTAGTCCCAGAATTTGTGCTTGCTGAGTTCCTTCAAGTGGGCAACTTTCATTCCCATCAAAATAACGAAAGACAAAAAAATCCATCAGAAGTGTGTTGCAATTTCATAGACTGACAGATGGAGGCGTGTGGTAATACATCTTTTATTACTTCCTTTGACAGCTACAGATTGCATACTGAGTTTAACTGGGCGGATATACACATTCTGCAGGTGCACTGTTGAAAGAATTGCTTTGGACATTTTTTCTGGCTATCACAGAAATAAAGTAAGTAGAGAAAAGAATTTCCCAGTAGTCCAAACAATGCTTCTCCCCACTTCTTCAAATACTCTACAGGCACATAATCCCAACATGAGTATTTTAAAACTGCAGAACTGACTCTCAAATATGGGCAGGCCAGCCTGCATTCTCATCTGTTGGGTTTAGGAAATGTCTGTAATCATTAACTGTATACAAGGAAATTATCGGTTTTTATGAAAGCATCAAGTTACATAAGGGATTATATCATACACAAATAACTCAGGACGATTAAACTTGATATTGTAAATGTGATTTTCATAGTTAAAAAACCTGAAACCTTGTAGCAGTTCTAGTTAACAAGTACCTGAGGCTCAGGGAATCCAGTTCAACAACCAGTAACACTGGTGCCCCTTGACACCTGATGAGTGATTCTGAGCTACAGGGTACTCGGATATTTGGTGGACCTTACTCTGGCTGTTTTTGGGTACACTTAATATTTGACCTGATAGACTGAGGGATGCAGATTGCCCTCCTTATCGTGTGCATGCATCATTCAACCAGTGGAAGGCATCACCCTCCCGCAAAGGAGGGAGTCCTTTCTGCCTGACTGCTTTCAGGCTTGGATGTGCGATTTCTCCTGCCTTCAGACTTCAGCTCCTCAGCTCCTCCTTGGCTTCCTGCCTGGCTGCAGACATCAGGACTGGGATTTCTTGGCCTCCGTTGCCAGCCTGCCTTTTCCCTAGACCAAATGAGGGGTCGGGGGGATTACACCTTCTTTCTCATTATGTCGCCGGGGGGGGGGTCCTCTGTGAGGGCCAACAGGGTGCTTGAAGGGTGAGTAATCCCACTGAGGGCAACATCACCAAAGACTGGCTGTTCATGGAGTGCCACTGGTGACGCTGTAAAGGGAGTTCCCACTAGAAACCTGCTCATAACATAACTCTTTCTATTGGAATATAAGCAAGATTTGGGGTTTTAGTTTTTGTCTGAGCTCATTTGCTTCAGAAATATTTCAAATAAGGTCACTTTTGTTTCCATACTTGTTACTCAGTAGCACAGAGAGGTAAGCATAACAAAGCTGACAGAATCAATGTTTCTTCAGGACCAGGAGACTAAAGTCCCAGAAATATTTATGAGTAATCTACCAAAATTATATTTAAGGTTATACGTGTACACATTTTTTTTTTTTTTTTTTTT